GCCCCCGAAAACAGAATGATGGCACAGCAAACCAAGAACTGCACCTTGTATGGGCAATATGCATATGGGCCTATGAATGATGGATTTTACTTGCATCATATTGATGGAAAGAGGGAATCGTACAACCGAACCTACATGTTCAATAATCACAAGAGGTGTCCCAATGCGACGGCCGACGTACCATCGTCGGTGTTGCCATGGGTTCGGTGTCCAATGTAAGCTAGTCAGGTTGAGCGCTGAGTAATCAACCCTGATGCGTTCAAGTTTATAAAATTGGTGGTTGTGGATTGGGAACCTCTCTCAGTTGAAAGTTTGGTAATCAAGGTCTACGTCTAAAAGCCAGGCGCCCAATGGTTTCTTTGGTTACCAATTCATAAACCTTCTATCCAATTTGTTGCCCGCTATCTAGCTAGATGAGTCAGTTGTCCTCTGGAATTGGCCAAGTCAAGGACTTTGCCAAATCCACCAAGTCCTCGACGATGGACAACCAACTTGTGCATGCAGGAAAATGGGTACCTACAAAGGAATCACCACTACAAAACTAGCACATAGCAAGGAGGGATGAATCCAATAGGAGGATCCACTCTTCTCTGTGCGCGCGAGTTGTCGTGTAGCCTCCTCCTCCGGTTGACTGTTGCCATTCAATGACTTGACGACGTTTGCAGGCTGGTGATAGGCAAGAGTTAACAGAGCTTCGCTCGACAGCAGCCTCTCCTCTCTTGTTGTTATCCGGAGCGACCGATCGTTCGAAAAGGACTGAGTCACTCCACAATGGTATTTCGTCGGCCGTCGACAGTGCAGCAGCGAAAACAACAAATAGATAACGAGCTTTGTTTTCTGTGCTTAACTGAACTGAAGAAAACCGATGACTCACTTACTTAGTCTACCCTTGTTTTCAAATTCCACCAACTCGACGGTCAGCGGCCAAGAACTGACTGCCATCCCATAGTCCATACGGTAGGATTCAACGAGGGATGGTTTTCCAATCAGCACCGGAGACGGTCAGCTTGAGTAAGGCTGATCGTCGAGGTGCGATCGATCGACTCCAATAAATAAAAGAACTCACCACACAAGCCACCTCTTGTCGGTACGGCTTGGATTTCTCTCCTGTTGACCATATGAATTCAACGAGGCAGAGAAGTCAGTGCTACGTCTTCAATAATAATAGACTTTCCCGTAATAGTACATGTGGTAGAACCAGTACCCATGACCTGATAGCAGTGAGGCTACCGGTATGGATTTCCCACAGAAGCTCCTTTGTGGTATTCTGGTCTTCCTCTTCCAAGTTCCTCTCCCGGTGACAACAATCTTCCAACAGCGTCATCTCACAACACCACCGCACTGAAAGCTACGCTGGGTTTTGGCGATGCGGCAGTTTGTGAGTAAACTTCTTACAACTTACAATAGTACCGATACTCGAGAACTTTTAGTTCCGTCACTTTTGCTTGCTAAAACCGTATGACAACACCTATACCTGTTACATGTATGCCACTAGAGGAAGAGACTACTTGAGCAAGAAGTCGACTGCCTTTGGAGCTACCACCTACTACGAGTACGGAGTAATCTTCGCCACTCGCCACATGCATTTGGTTGATCGAATATTGACTTCGAAATTTGATAACATTTGACCTGCCATTTCGACATTCCTTCTTCGAATAGCAACAAGTCCTCCTTCAGCATCTCATCGGAGGTGACAGTTCAGTCTCCGGGGTGACTCTCTGCTAGCTAGAGCACTGTAGCGGCTTTCCACCATTCTGGATTGTCGATCGTTCGAACAGATTTGGTCCTTGATCCTCCATTCCCACCTACAGTACCGGTAGCAAATCCTCCCTAACCTTAAAGGAGGATTTCGAAGCATCCCTTAAACCTTTTGATCGTCCCTAAATCCTCTCATTTCCTGAGAGTTGGTTGTGTTGCTCGTTGCATGTTTTGCTTTGCTAGCTAGAACGGGATTATGAGACTTCCCAGAAACCCAACGATGCAAGGATCTCAACCAGCCGCTTGGATGGCGATGCTGATCTTGGTCATGACTCAGTTGCTGCTGGATGAAAGGCTTCAGTCCGTCTTTGCAAACATGTACAGGGCACCACAAGAGAGCCGTGGGCTACAGCTGATAGAGGAAACACACAACACTGTTGAAAATGATAGCAGCAATAGCTCTTTCCATGATGAATGTGCTTTTGCTCGCAATGTTACCTTCTCCAACAAGCCTCCAACCACGACTGTCATTGTTACTTCCAACCTGATCCCCACCATGCCCTCCACTGCCGTCAT